CCCCCCCCCGCACCCCAGCACAGTGAAATGTTTCTGTGGCCCCCCCCCACACACACACGCACCTTTGCAGAAGTGTTTCTGTTTCAGACCATAAGGTTCACAGCTCCTTTGTTGTGTTAACAAATCGGTGAATGATTAGTATTTATTTGGGGGACAATTAGGTTTTCACAGGCGCAATGAAGAGTGATTTATCACTCTCACCGGAGACTCCTCTGTGTCTCTGCGCGCGTAAATCCCCCCATCCCCGAGTCACGGGCTGGAGCAATTTGTGCTGTCCCCAGGGCCCCTGTGGAGTAATTGCAGTGTTAATGAATTAATTGGTCCAAAGTGGCTTGGACAGAAGGGGCCTGGCTTGCAGCAGTTGTGGTGCGGACCGAACCACGGGTGAAGTGAGTTGTGGCTTATGAAAACTGATGCACCTCTGAATTGGTTCATGTCGGGCGCAGCTTTACCCCACCTCCTGCTTGACCTCGGAGACCAGCACGGCTAACCACCCCCTCTCCGTTTCTGGGACCAGCCGAAGCGTTTGGGTGGAAACTCTCCACTGAGCCTCTGGCACCCATCAGGGAGGATTTTGACCCAAATGCCTAGAGTTTGGCAAAGGCCAAGCTGATGAGATCCTTGTTGGGCAGCATTATAGCCATAGGCAGGGCGCGCATAATGCACGCTATTAAAATGCTTTTTGAAGCTGGGCTGCACCTGAGAGAGAGGAATCGGAGAGTCGGCTGTGTTTGCTAGGTGTCCCCGGCTTGCAGGTGGGTGTATGGACAAGAGATGGGCAAAGCGAGGCACTTTGGACACCGGGAGCGTATGAACAAGGCAGGAGGTGAATGGGTTGGTACACCCACAGCCAGGCGAGCGGGAATGCACAGTCTGTGATCTCTTGCGGGCAGGTCGGCGGCTTGTGGCACCCCTTTGTCCCCTCTATGGGGGGGCCCGTTTGCTGGAGGATCGCTTTTTGAGCAGAAGAGCATCGATGTGGAAATTGGGCCAGCTGCTGACACAAGCCACAGGGCCCCTTGCCCGGCTTGGCTCCCCGGCTGTCATCAGTCCTGTGTTCAGCTGCTCCTCCTTTGCTATTTAGCCAGCGAGGGGCAAGGTGGACGGAGCCTCACCACGCGGTCCCCTCCCCTAGGTCTTGGACTTGACGGCTGAGCTCATGGACGAGCGGTACAAAGGCGAAGCGTCCTGCCAGGTCTTGGAAGCAGAGCGGGCCGAGCGGCTGCGGGGGGCCCGGGAGCTGCGAGAGCTGCAGGTGAGTGCCAGGCAGCTGCCGGAGACAGCCGGGCAAAGCCCGAGCAAGCAAAGGGCACGGGGAGGGGCTGGAGGGCAGCTCTGCTACTGATGCCCTGGGGGACCTTGGTCATGTCCAATGTGAGCCTCACTCTGCTCATCCCTAGCACGGAGGCCAGACTTGCCCCTGTCTGTGCAGCAGTGGAGGGCCCAGGCAGAAAGGCAGCGTGTCCAAGCGCATTAGTGTTTCTTTCCCTTCCCTGCATCGTTTCATCAGCGCTGACCAGGCGCGTCGGAAATACCGGATAACGATCAGGCGCTGGCGTGAAGGCCTGCCCCTTCTGCCTGTGCTCCTGGCAGGGAGCGCATGGGGTTCGGGCTGGTCCGTGCTCCGGGTCCTCGCCCTGCCCCGCGCTCCCTGCGCTGCTCTGCTCTGGCCTTGGGTGCCGGCAGCCGGTCAGGGCTGAGGCGTTTCTCTCTTGCAGAGCAAGTACGAGCAAGTGCAGAAGAAACTGGAGTCGGTGGAAAAGCAGCTGGAAGAGACGCAGCAGCAGGTCCAGCTGCGAGAGCTGGGCATCGCTGGTGCTGGAGGTGGTAAGCAAGTGCCCTCCAGGGAAGGCAGCTGCCTTCATCCCCTTGGAGGGATTATGGGGCCCTCCAGCAGCTCCCCTCCTAGGACACTGCTGCCTTTAGCAGCGCAGCCCCTCTGAGCTCTCCCGGGAGCGACGTCCTGGTTCCCTTGTTGTTGCTGAGCGCAGGACGGACTCAAAGCGGAGCCGTCTCGGCTCAAGCGATTCCCTGTGCCGCCGGGAGGACGCTCGCTGCAGACGTGTCAGGACTGTTTAAACCAGTGGGTTTTGCAACGAGCCTGTGAAGTGACGGGGGGGCTAAATGGGGAGCACTGGGCCCGTGTGCATTGGGAGCGGGTGCAATGGGGCTGCGCGGGGTGGGGGGTGTTGGCTCGTCTCAGACTTCAGCTGCTCAGGGGTGCGCACGGGATGGGATGCTTTCTGCAAGCTCCCTTCGCAGCCCGAATAAGCACAAGCATTAGCAAGAAGTCGGTGGGGTCCCCGGGCCTGGAGGACTGGAGGCAGCCCATGAATTCATGAGGTTTTTATGTCCCTGCTAGGCTGGTTGCCTTGCCGGGGCTTCCCCTTGGGCGAGGAGGCAAGATGAGTGAACAGAGCCCAACTCCCACGTTAAAAGAGGACTACTTTGGGGTGCCTACCTGGGGTCTCTCTCTCTCGGCAGAAGAGGAGTGGCAGATGCGGTTTGACTGCGCGCAGACGGAGATCGCGTTCCTCCGAAAGCGCCTCGCGCAGCTGGAGGAGAGGCTGGAGTCTGAGCTGAGCTCCAAGAAAGAGCTGGAGCAGAAGGTGAGCCAGGGCCTCCCCCGGCGTTTGGAGGCGTGCGGAGCAGCGGGACGGATTGGAGTCGAGAGCCTCCTTCCCCACCTCGTCTCTACAACGGGAGCGGGTCCACGAGCCAGGATGACACGTATAGACGGCTTCCTGGGACGGGCTTGTAGAAATCATAGGAAATTAGGGTTGGAAGGGACCTCGGGAGGTCATCTAGTCCAAAGGCTACTGCCTTTGGGTATCTCCAAGACATCTCTCCCCAGCACCGTGTGTTTTGTGACCTGTGCAAGAAGAATATCCATTGTTGTTTGACTTCAGCGCTCTGCGTGCTTGCGAGAACGCAGCACCCAGGAGCTAGCACAGGACTAGCATGAAGGCATTGCAGGGCCTTGCATCGCGGCCGGGCTCTGCAGGGAGAATGCATCTAAAAATGCTAAAAAAA